AAAAAAAAAAAAGATTTGCTCCAAAAATGTAGAACGTAGGGTCAATAAGCAACTTGCTATAGTAGCACAAGCTGATCCAATCCAATTAAAGTCCTATTTCATCTTTGACTTTTTAATCACTCAACTTGCTTACGATATTTCAAATGTCCAAATTTGGAAGCACGAAGAGTCATTAGTCAACTCATTATACCCCGTAAAATTTTCCACAAACGTAAATTCCTTCACCCTAAATATTTGACTTTCATGTTACCAACTTGCCAAGATTTCTATATTTAACATGCTATGTATATCACTTACAGAATACTTAAAACCACACTAGTACTAAGTGTTTTACGAATAAGCAAAAAAAATTTAAAAAATATGAAGCATTTCAGCCACCCCCATTCCTTGGAACTCTCTGAAGTTCAAGAAACAAATGAGATAATCTGCTCAGGTTGTGAGAATAAACTTTCTGGCACTTCTTACAAGTTACAAATGCACCAAACCTAATTGTGAATTCACCCTTCACAAATCATGCTTCGAATTACCAAGAAAAATTCAACACAATTCCCATCCTAATCACCCTCTCACTTTATACCCTAGTCTACCCGAACGAGACTCAATTTATTTTGGTTGCAATGCATGTGGTGAAGAACCAAAAGCCATTGTTTACGAATGCCTCGATTGCAACTTTAGCCTCCATGCTAATTGTACTATCTCTTGGCCAGAAACTGTGACTCGTGAGTCGTGACGATCACCAACACTCTCTTACTCTATAATATCAATGGCCATTTCCTATTGATGATTATGTGCATCTCTTTTGCAAGGTGTGTGATGGACTTTGCAATGATAGCAAATGGCTCTATTATTGTGCCGAGTGTAAATTTAGAACTCACTTGAAATGCGCGACTGTTAAAAGAGAAGATGGTTCGAGCCTTGAGAGCGAAGATGAAGAGGAAGAGAATATGACTAAGGAGCAAAGATTGATGATGGCAACAATCAAAGCTCAAGGACAACAGACAAGGCATAATATAAAAGAACCACTATTTCAGTTACTACTACAATCCTAAATGGGATATTATCACTTTTAGCCCGTACCAGAAACTATTTACATTTAGTAGCCGAAAAAATGTATAAAATTTGTATAATTTTTATATATAACATACAAAATGTATATATATACAAAAATATACAAAATTTATATATTATTTCGACTATTATTTTTACAGCGGCTATACTGGAGTGTCAATATCAAGAAGAAATCGGGTTATTGATAACCATGATTTACTTCACTTTCCCAATAATTTGAAGAATAAATCAAGGAATGGAAATAACTAACAAAGAAAATATGAAATAGATTGATAATCACTCCCAAAATTACGGTTTAGAACTTTGAGAATAAAGTAAAGAATGATTGCATAAATTTCAATAATTATCCGATGAACTTACAAATGAGGACTCAATCCTTATATAAGAGTATACAATTTATAACGGTTTTTATACTTAATTCGGGCTGATTAATAGCATTAATTTTCTTGATTACCCATTTTTGTATATAACCGTAATGGAAGCGTTTAAGACTGAGGATTTCCCGTAATCACAATTATGTATCGATTTCCCTTCCTTATTTAAGACAGATTTGTGCACCTTCCTTCTTTAATGGTCTTTAATACATCCCGCCCCAATTTTTCTTCTTTCCAGCTATCAAAGCCGGTCGCTTTCCTAGAGAAATCCCGAGGGTATTTCTCCCCGTGCCTTCTTGAATTCTTTAACTCAATGCCACCTGTCACCTTTTTGATGGTCCACGTGTCATGCCTTTTTCTACTAATACAGATAGTCCCCCCACTTTCTGAATATTCTCAACAAAATATTCGGAAAGTGATAAGTATTTATGGCGGGAATTCTTTGCCGCCGTTTCTCGAGTATCATAATGCCTTCTTCAGAATCGATGTGACATACGTCATGTCTATTTAATTCCCAACCCACGTGGCTTACCCTGATTGGTTCTGCAGTTTCTCAATATTTTTAGGGTTTTTACTACGGCTGCTCCAGTCACGAAGTGATGGTTCTATTATGACAGTTCATAATGGCCAACCCGGATGGCGGTTGCTTCTTCTTATAAATACTTCATCACGCTTGATTTCCTGAAATCTTCTTCCTTCTTCTTTGCATTCATCTCCTTAACTTTGCAACATACTCCTCTATCTTTCTACTGTATTTTCTTTGTGAAATATGTCTTCTTCCGCACCAGATCCTCATAAAGGTTGTGATCGTCGATGATCTCTCTTTTTCTACTGCCCCTACTAGGAGTATGAGAGGTAGTCGATTATGCAGTCTTGGTTCATTATCTAATCGTAGTTCTACTCCTCAAAGTAGTTCTGTCAAGCCATCTCGTTCTAGGTCTAAAGCTTCTTCAACCCCTACGTCTTCTTCTAAGAGTATCAGAACGAACCCATGCGAGAACCTACAGTTTC